CATAGATTATTGTCTATTATATAGGGAGGAGAATTTCGAGTTTGCAAAATGCATTTGCTATTATGAATTGGAGTGCTAATGGCTATGCATTTACTTGGCTATATGATTATTTTCAAATTGAAGAACGAATCTGTCAACTGGCAAATTATGATGCTGACAGGAAGAAATAATACCAGTTTTATTGTCAATTTATATTATAATGCGGAAATATTAACGAATTGATGTATTATTAAATATATGATCCCTTATGAACTCATGGTATGATCCTGGTGTAGACATGTACATATTGTATTTCATTGTCACTGTATTTTGTTCAAGCTTTACTTAGCTACAAAGCAACTACAAAATCTCCTAACTACCTGAAGAATAACCCACGGGATTATTACAACAACTAACGTAACTAATACACGTGACTAACTAACGACACGTCAGCTTAACCTCTCTCTTTACTATTAGCCGAACACTAGAATTATTAATATATACTTTGAATCAGTTATGCATCTTGTAAAGCCTATGAAGAGTTATCAAACGGTTATATATATATATAAGGAGGAAATAAAAATAGATTTCAGATTAATAAACACCAACAGCTCCACAGAATCTTTATTTATTACATAGCATCCAAACTGATCATTCTGACTCACTCTTAACAAATTCTAACAGAAATAAATTAAGGCAAACACTGGCTAGCTCACTAGCCGAACACAACCTGCTAGTTCTCCTTAAACACATTCTTCATCGCTAAATAGATGGTTTACTTTAGCAATCCGGTGTAGTGGCTCCAACACACAAGGAAACGACAGGCGTATTCTCCTCAGAATTTGTTGGTACGGTGACGTGCTCTCGAACTATCCAGCAAACTATCAATCACGTTCCTGAGGCTTTTTGGGATCTTATGCTTGAACCTGCGCCCCAACTTCCTCGCCAACCAAATGATAAGACGAATGGTGTGGATTGCAGCTATGATCCCAAGCAATGTAGCCCAAACCACAATGGATATCTTGGATATATTTTCATATGTTGTGAAAATTTCAGTAGTAGGGAACACTAAGATGAGAGCATATATATAGGTGATTATTGCAGTGGCGGATCCAGGATTCAAAAGTCAGGTGGGCGAAACTTACCTTAAAACTCGATGGTACGAGTGAATTTAATTCATAAAAATAAAAAGATATACTTAGTTGGGGAGAACGTAATGAGATTTACCCTCAGATATGCATCTCTATACATAAAAAAAAAACTTAACAAAAAAAAAAAAAGTTTTAAAAACAAATTAATGCAATGCAACACACAACTAAACTATTTAAATCTAAAACTAAATTAAACTATTAAAAACCTTAAGATGCATACATTTATTTTAAGAAAAGGCCAATAGAAGAATACTTGTTGGCCTTAGATATGAGAAGATGCTACCAAGAGAGAATGTCTATCCTCAAGAAGAAGTTGCAAAGGATAATGATTTGAGATTGTCGACTATTGCACAGTCGCAAGGGAATTGGTTACTTACTTATATTGCTTCTCCTCCTTTTCTTTTTTTAAGTTTGACTTAGCCATATAACACATGTGGGTTGCTTTTAAGTTTGGGTAGGCATGGGTTCACACCATTACATGGATGGGTAGGAATAACTTTGCTTACATATAGGTGTTTTTTTTTTTTTTTGGTGAAAATTTTTGGGTAGGCAGCTGCCTACCCTGCCCTTGCTGTAGGACCGCCACTGGGTGATTGCCATAGAAGTGAGAGTCACCTGGCCATTGATAAAAGCCACACAATTACACGATTCCGGAGGGGAAATCGACCAACAAGCAAAAGGGTGACACTGAGAGAAGCAATAAACGAGATGGTATTGAATGTTACGAACACGAGGAAGTCTTCTGGGAAGCCGCTGCCTGCGACAGAAGTTCCAGCAAAGAATATGTCATTTTGGGTGCAATAAGTAGTATTTCCAGCCCTACTACTGTTACAATTGTCTTGCCAAACACCACTGGGTGGGTTAACTGCAGCTTGGAAAGTTGAAGTTGATATCATGGTTGCCACATGTTGAATTATAAGTGCTCAAGCTGATTTCATAAATAGTTGTTTCTGTTTTCTTATAATTTTGGTTTTTAATCCAAGTGGCATAGGTTGATTGGTTAGTTTAATGGAAGGCTGAGATTGCATTGTGATGTAATGCATCCAGCTGGCACTGTATAATGGTTATACTCTCACACCAAAAGTGTGAGCTATACTGTACAAAATTCTGGCAGTCTAAAGAAAGAGTATGGTCTCTGCTACATGTATAGCAGAGTAATCTTGCAATCCTCTTCTTCGTCATTCTTCTATTTTTAATTCTTACCAAAACCCATATACATAGTCAAATACACTAACATGGCCTAAGAGCCAAGTTCGATTAGCTAAAGGGGCGTTTATTCTGTGAAGAAAATCGATCGAGGAGAAGTTCATTTTCAAGCTTACGAAGCTGAGTGAGCTCGATCAATTTTTAGGTCTGAAAACAACTTGTTTTCCGGTGCATCAGAAATCAAAATGGCTGGATCTGGAAGCTTAGAAGCGAGACTTCCAATTTTCTCTGGAGAGAACTATGAATTTTGGTTGATTAAGATGATTACCATATTCCGATCTTATGGTCTTTGGAATCTGGTAGAGAAAGGACTTCCTTCATCAGATTCAAAGGAGAAGAAGATAACTGAGGAAATCTCAGAAGAAGAGGTTGATGAGAAAGCAGCTATCATTCTCATGAAGGATGCAAAAGCTCTTGGAATTATCCAAAATGCAGTTTCTGATCAGATCTTTCCCAGGAAAGCAAATGCTGACTCTGCAAAGATGGCTTGGGATCTGCTGTACTCAGAATATCATGGTGGAGAGCATGTTAGATCGGTAAAACTTCAAAATCTCATACGTGAATTTGAGTACACTAGGATGCGTGATAATGAAACCTTATCTGATTATCTTACTAGACTAAATGAATTGATCAACCAAATGAAAACGTTTGGTGAAGTGCTTTCAAAGGAGAGGCAGGTGCAAAAGGTCTTAATTAGTCTAAGTAAGAAATATGATCCTATATGTCTTGTGATTGAAAACACAAAGGATTTGGAAACTGTGGAGTTGCAAGAAGTAATTGCTATATTGAAGAGTCAAGAACAACGGTTTGAAATGCATAATGTTGATACACATGAAAAAGCATTTGCCTCATTCACTGTGAGTTCCAAAGGTCAGAATAAAAATGGATCTCAGTCTGGTTCATCCAAGTCACAGGGAAATTGGAACTCTAAAGGAAAGCCATGGGAATCAAAAAGCAAGTCACAGCAGAGCAGCTATCCTGCACAGAATGTCAATTCCACAAACCAGGAGAATGCTAAACCTCAATGCAAGGTGTGTTCAAAGCATCATTTTGGTGAGTGCAGATATAAGGGAAAACCAAAATGCTATAACCGTGATAGATTTGGACATTTTGCTAGGGACTGCACTGTTAATGAGAATGTGCAGAAGAAAATTATGTAAACCAAATGGATGTGATAGGGAATCTGTTTTATGCCAATTGCACAACCACTGAGATCAAAGCCAATGGAGAATGGTATGTTGATAGTGGCTGTAGTAATCATATGATAGGAGATTTAAAACTGCTGGTTGATGTGAGAACTAATGTGACTGTGAAGATGCAAATGCCGACTGGTGCACTTGTAAATGTAGTTGGCATTGGTTCACTGATGATTGACACAGAAAAGGGCAGGAAATACATCAGAGAAGTAATGTATCTGCCAGGGTTGAAGGAAAACCTACTCAATGTTAGGCAGATGGATCAACATGGATACTATCTGGTGTTTGGAGAAGGAATGTGCAGGGTGTTTGATAGTCCATCTATGGATTATCTAATCATCAAAGTACCAATGAAGAGTAACAGATGCTATCCAGTATCCTTTCTTGCTGACAACCAGCTGCTCATGAAAACCAGTTTCACTCAATGCACATGGATGTGGCATAAGAGACTAGGTCACTTGCACTTTAAAGGTCTGAAACAGTTAAGAGAGAAAGGCATGGCGTATGGCTTACCACAATTGGAAGAACAAAGTGGTGTGTGTGAAGGGTGCCAATTGGGAAAACAACACAGGGTTGTGTTTCCAAAGGAACAAGCTCAAAGAGCAAGCAAGGCACTTGAATTAGTGCATATAGATCTATGTGGCCCTATGAGAAATGAATCTGTTGCAAAGAACAGATATTTCATGTTGATTATTGATGACTTCACAAGGATGATTTGGGTATACTTCTTGAAAAATAAGTCAGAACCCTTCAGTTGTTTCAAGAAGTTCAAATCAATGACTAAACTACAAACTGGACACAAAGTGAAATGCATCAGAAGTGACAGAGGTGGAGAGTTTTTGTCTGCAGAATTTGTGGAGTTTTGTGAAGCTCAAGGCATCCAAAGGCAACTCACAATGGCCTATACTCCTCAGCAAAATGGAGTGGTAGAGAGGAAGAATAGGACTGTTATTGAAATGGCCAGAGAAGGGAATACCTTATTTCCTATGGGCTGAAGCAGTGCATACAATTGTTTACTTGTTGAACAGGTGTCCTACCAAAGCCCTCAGCAACATCACTCCATTTGAAGCATATAGTGGAAGGAAACCTGGAATTGCACATCTTAAAATATTCGGTTCTTTGTGTTATGTTCATGTGTCGGATGAATTGAGACACAAACTGGAACCCAAGAGTACAAAAGGGGTGTTTGTAGGATATGTAATTTGTGAAAAAGGTTATAGGATCTTTGATCCAATTTCTAACAAGCTGATATTGTCAAGGGATGTGACATTTGATGAAGAAGGTGTGTGGAATTGGACAGATAACAATGGTTCAGGCATGCCATCATACTCAGTTGGAAATCAAGTAGATCTTGATGCCAATTCTGGAAATTCATATGACAAGGATGCGGCTACACCTCAAACTCAGAATCTGCAGGAAGGAAATTTGTCAACTTCACATCACACTCCAAGTGATATTAGTAGTGAAGAAAGAAGAACTCGAGCCTATGATCATTCTCCATTAAAGTGGAGGAGACTAGATGATGTGCTGGCACAATGTAACCTGTGCATCATGGAACCAGAAAACTATGCTGATGCTGCACAAGATGAATCTTGGCTTAAGGCTATGCAAGATGAACTTCAGATGATTGAAAAGAATGGAACATGGGAATTGGTGGACAGACCATCTGAAAAACCAGTAATTGGAGTTAAATGGGTTTATAAGACAAAGCTAAATTTGGACGGTTCAGTTCAAAAGAATAAAGCAAGGTTAGTTGCCAAAGGCTATGCTCAGAAGCCTGGGCTGGATTACAATGAAACGTACGCACCTGTAGCCAGATTGGATACCATCAGAACACTTATTGCTCTTGCTGCCCAAGAGAACTGGAAATTGTATCAACTTGATGTGAAGTCTGCTTTTCTTAATGGAGTGTTACAAGAAGAAGTCTACATTGATCAACCGGATGGTTTATATAAGCTGCATAAGGCTCTATATGGCTTGAAACAAGCACCTAGGGCCTGCTATGGAGAGATAGATAACTATTTCTCTCAATGTGGTTTTGAGAAAAGCTTAAGTGAAGCAACCTTGTACACCAAGGTAAGGGGAGATAAAGAGATCCTAATTGTGTCTATCTATGTAGACGATATTGTGTATAGAGGGATCAGTCAAGCACTGTTGGCTGAATTCAAAGAAGATATGATGGCTAAGTATGAGATGACTGACTTGGGCCTACTTCATCATTTTCTTGGCATGGGAGTTATCCAAACCGAGTATAGTATATTTCTACATCAAAAGAAGTATGCTAGCACCTTGTTGAACAAATTTGGCTTGACTGAATGCAAATCTGTAACCACACCTTTTGTTGCCACTGAGAAATTAGCTAAGGATGATGGAAGTGGAGCTGCAAATGAAGAACACTACAGAAGCATTGTTGGTAGTCTGCCGTACTTAATTGCTACAAGACCCGACATCATGTATGCTTCAAGTCTGCTAGCCAGATTCATGCACTGTCTTACAAACATGCATTATGGAACAGCTAAACGTGTCTTGAGATATGTCAAGGGAACTCTAGACTACGGCTTAGAGTATGTGAAAGGCAGGAAATCAGTTCTGATCGACTACTGTGACAGTGATTAGGGAGGATTAGTTGGTGATAGCAAGAGCACATCAGGGTATGCCTTTACTTTTGGGAATGGAGTGTTTTCTTGGGCCTCAGTGAAACAGAACTGTGTTGCACTGTCCACTGCAGAAGCTGAGTACATCAGTGCAGCAGAGGCTACTACACATGCCATTTGGCTAGCTTTGTGCTAGAGGATTTTGGAGAGCTTTAAACTGAAGCTACTCCATTGCATTGTGATAACATCTCAGCAATAGCAATCACTAAGAATCCTGTATTCCACCAGAAGACAAAACATATTGACAGGAGATACCATTTCATCAAGGATGTTTTGCAAGAAGGAGTTATTAATCTGGAATATTGTCCCACGAATGAGCAACTGGCTGACATCTTCACCAAACTGTTGGCCAAAGATCGATTCAATTATCTCAGAGGCATGCTTGGAGTGAAATAAGCTCAAGACTTAAAGAGGAGTGTTGAATTATAAGTGCTCAAGCTGATTTCATAAATAGTTGTTTCTATTTTCTTATAATTTTGGTTTTTAATCCAAGTGGCATAGGTTGATTGGTTAGTTTAATGGAAGGCTGAGATTGCATTGTGATGTAATGCATCCAGCTGGCACTGCATAACGGTTATACTCTCACACCAAGAGTGTGAGCTATACTGTACAAAATTCTGGCAGTCTATTTATCACAACCATCACCATGCCACGTGTCTCTTCCAACCAAGTTTTTGGGTATTCCAAGCAATTTACCAGTCTATTTATCAGACACCAAGCTATCGCTACTGCTTTGTTCAGAATCTGACCAGCAACGGCAATAGTTCTTTTTGTTTCCATACCTGGGCCTGGCTCAACCAAAATTTGATCAAGTTCAGGTAGGCTGCTCGAGTCTCTTGGATTTTGTTCTGAGGAATATAACTGGATCACGCCATTTTCTTCTTCTTTTACAGCAGGTATCATCGGACAAGTGGTACCATTAATATTTTGAAACTTTGTTGCTTGAGACCAAGGCATACCAATTGCATGCTGTGGTGGATCCATGAATTTTTCAGGGGAGGTGCAATATTTAAAACACCAAAAATCAAAAAATAATTTAGACAAGCAAATGCCCTTAGAATTTAAACAATATTAATGTCATTTAAAATTAAAACAAATCAGAGTTCTTGATAGAAAAGAATGTAAGAAAAATTTCGTATATGTCTCTACTACAAAAATTTCGTATATGACGGGAAACCACCGTTGTGTAGAAGGTTTTCCAACCGTCGTGAAATCGACCGCCATCTTTTGTACTATCAACAATGACGGTTAATAACTAACGTTGTTAAGGAATTCAACGTCCAATATTTATTACTAACCGACGTGTAATTACTATATAATTAGCCTAAAATGAAATCTCCGACAACATTCGACGACGGTTTTATGAAAAAGCAGACATTTAAAGACTGTTACATGTCATGATCCAAAGAAGAACCGATGTACAGATAATTAGCCACATCTCTAAATGAAGGGAAAAAGACTTGGATAAGATAGAAACCGACGTAGTTAATATTTACTACGTTAAAAAAAAAAAAATTGACATGTGAACCATAAACAACGACGTACACACAAACGAACATACGTTTAAAGTTTATTACATGTCGTTGGTCTTTCAATAACCGCCGTAAAATAAAATAACTACGTCCTGCACCAGGCGTCACCAACGTTTATGTATTTATCCACGTCGCGAACTATAATACAAACCGTCGTGTTAACTCGTTGACACGTCTATTTTTTTCGAGATTCGTCGTTTAAATAGAATAAAGAAGGCCCTTTAACAGAGATAGACGTCACTTTTTCTAAATAACCGACGTCTAAAATATTTAAAATGACAGAATATTACTCAATATCGACGTACAAAACTTTCCCCCACATCAGTTTATGTCAAGGGCTGACGTTATAAATAATATTTAAGGCGTGGATAGAAACATAACTGACGTGGATTATAGATTCAACGTCTGTTTCTTTAAAATAAAGGACGTGGTTAATTACTTCACTACGTCTAGGGATCCACCTGCTTGACGTTGTAATTACTTACCACGTCGGTTCTTATTACATAATGACGTGGTTGTCCTTTTAAAAGTCGCTTGTTTGACCTGCCGTGACGTATGTATGCGTGGAGACGTCAGTTGTTATAGACTAGAAAACGTGCAGAACATGTTTCACGACAGTTAATGGAACTAAAATGCCTTTATTTTGAGGTTTAGACGACGGTTTATTTTAAGCAAACCGTCTTGATTTTTTTTTTAGATGTCTGTTTTTTGTTTTACGGTTTGTTGCCTTTTGAAACCCGATGTTGTTTTTATTTTAGACGTCTGTGTTTCCAATTTT